ATTGAACCCAGGGCCTCAGGCATGCAAGGCAAGCGCTCTACGACTGAGCCACCTTCCCAGCCCTGAAATGGAAATTTTTAATGAAAGCCATGCCCCATAATATCCAGGCAGACTACCCTCGTGGTTCTGCGATCATGGCCTATCCTTATTCTATTAACATTTCTTCTTCCTATCAGTGAGCAAGGAATGCCATATACCAAGCAAGCATCCTCTGGCAGTTTCCTGTCTGTCTCCAGCTGGCTAGTTAGCAGTGGGACTGCCAATGGGACATGTTTTCCAGGAGGTGGAAAAAAAAAACCACTTTTTTTTTTTTCCTGGAGGTAGAAAAACAAAATTATGGCTCTAGGATTTCATTAAGGAGGAAATCCTATTTGGATTACAAGATGCTTTCTCTGCCAGTGAACAAGTTGCCAAATGTACTCCAGCCTGAAAGAAACCGTAGTGAGTTCAGTTTGGGACAGAGGCCTTTGGTAGCAATTTACATCTTCTAACGGAGGGGGGGGGCGTGGGAGGGGGACAGGACAGAGGGTGGGGGCTGAGGATGTGGCTTAGTGGTAGAGTGCTCGCCTAGCATGCATGAAGCCCTGGGTTCAATTCCTCAGTACCACATACACAGGAAAAGCCGGAAGTGGCGCTGTGGATCAAGTGATAGAGCACTAGCCTTGAGCCAAAGAAGCTCAGGGACAGTGCCCAGGCCCTGAGTTCAAGCCCCACGACTAGCAAGCAAACAAATAAGTCAATTAATCAATCAATCATCTACTTTTGAGAACATTTTGACAAGTACTTGGCCAGGAACAGAACATGATGGTCTATTTTTTTTTATGATGGTCTATTTTTGTTTTTGTTTTTGCCAATCCTAGGGCTTGAACTCAGGGCCTGCATACTGTCCCTGAGCTTCATTTGCTCAAGGCTAGCACTCGACCACTTGAACCACAGGGCCACTTCTGTCTTTTTCTGTATATCCGGTACTGAGGAATCGAACCCGGGGCTTCATGCATGTTAGGCAAGCACTCTACCACTGAGCCATCTTCCTAGCCGCCTGATGATCTATTCTTTCACCACCCAAAGTAGGGCTACTTGGGCTTTTGTAGCCTGACCATCATCCCGAATTCCATCAAGTCCCTTCAAGGTGATGTAAGCACCCTGGCTGGACTGGACTGGACTGGACTGTGTTTTTTGTTTTTGTTTTTTTGGGTCCAGTCATGAGCCTGAACTCTGGGTCTGGGTGCTGTCCCTCAGCTCTTCAGCTCAACGCCAACACTCTACCACTTGAGCCACAGCACCACTTCCGGCTTTTATTTTCTGCTTATGGGGTGCTGAGGAATTGAACCCAGGGCCCCATGCGTGCAAGGCAAGCACTCTACCACTGAGCCACCTTCCCAGCCCCTGGATTGTGTTTTTGTGTACCCTTATATTCACCCGCAGAGTCCCTGAATCCCCACTTGGGAGATGCCGAGCATCCTAGAATGGCTAAGACCCTAGCCTAGCCAATGCCACCAAGTATTAAACCTTGGAGCAGCAGAGCAACCTGAAATCATGTAGTTCAGACTGTACCTTGGAGGCAACAGAGCTGTTACTATCCCTAATGTATAGCTAAGTCACCTGAGGCCCAGGGAAACTAAACCGATTGCCGAAAGCCACAGACCTAGGTGCATTCTGCCACCAACCCCAGTCTCCAGCTACAGAGTACCAGCTCCTTCAGGCTCTCTGGGCAAATAACCTCACTCCACTGGACAGAATGGATTTTCTGGCCTGGAATCATTCATCTAGTTGAGAAACGACAGTTTCTTTTCTTTTTTTAACCTAGCCACTTTGGCTTCTGTTCTTCAAAGCAGAAAAGAAAATTGTGCAGAGAACTCTTAAAATTTTTGCCTAAGGGAAATCATCTTGACAGGATAACATCCCAGATGCTAGAGCTCAAAGGAGACATTTCCCAAAGGGTGTGTGTGAGAGAGAGAGAGAGAGAAAGAGAAGATTGTTACTCAGGAACGCAGCAGAACCTACTGTCCTATATATAAAACAGGTACTGTACTTAAATTTAGCCTTCCTTACAGAAAAGGTCATGAATATGCATTCTGGCTAAGAACATCATTTCTTTTCGCAGCCTCATGTGCGATGCCGTGGGCTAAGTTAATTTTAGCCTGGAGTTTTCAGGGTTTGTTTTAGGAAAGGTCAGGGTACTAACCGATAGCTTGTCATGTGAAAGAAGAAAGCACAGAAAGGGGTAGAATGCCAAGTCATCACAACCCCGTCCCAGGAGTGAAAGGCACGGCTGGCGGTGGAGGTTCGGTTCCATTTGCGATGAGTGATAGTACGGCCACCGTCGATTTGATCAGCCGGGTGCCGTGAAAGTCACCTGTCCCCCTCTGGGATTGTGGGGTGCTGCCAGCTGCCTTCCTCTGAACCAGACGGTGGAGTGGGTATCTATGCACCCCACGCGAGCAGATTCTGTGCCAAAGGAGATAGAGAAAAAACTTCATGCAGACTAGGAGATGAGGCCTGGGGAGCTGGTGGGAGGGCGTGGCTCCCTCCTTCCCCCCAGTAAGGCCAGGTCTAGGGAAACTGGAGCCCTTCCAAGGGCCTGAGGCTGCATCTTCTCTCTGTGGGGCCCGGGGTCTAGGGGTGGTGGACAGGGTGCCGGCTGGGGTGGCAGAAAGGGACCCCCATCTCAGGGCCACTTAGAAGCCCAACCCAGGGGAAACAGGCCCTTGGATCATCCAGAGTGGACACATTCTGTGTTAGAAATGCTCGGTGGTCTCATCACAGAGTGACTGAGCACTTGCAGGAGAGTGGTTGTGGCTGAATTTGTCTTTTTGTTGTTAATGTTGGTCATGGGGCTTGAATTCTGGGCCTGGACGCTGTCCCTCAGCTCTTCAGCTCAAGGCGAGCACTCTACTACTTGAGCCACAACGCCACATCTGGTTTTCTGTAGTTTATTGGAGATAAGAGTCTCACGGACTTTACTTGCCCAGGCTGGCTTTGAACCGTGATCCTCAGATCTCAGTCTCCTGAGTAGCTAGGATGACAGGCGTGAGCCACCAACACTTGGCTGTAAGTTATATTTCTTCCAGTGAAATACTTAAAATACCTCAGAAGTTTGAAAGCAAAGGAGGAGGAGAGAGGCATAAAGAAAAAATAAAAAGAAGAGACGGACAGCAAAAATAACGGAATGAAGTAAGTGTATGAGAAACAGACTCAGAGCAAGTAGGAGAGAGAGAAAATGGGCAACTGTGAAATTAAAAGTCAGGGAGACAAGGAAGGGGAGAAAGAGGATGTCAAATAGAAGCCCCAGAATTCTCTCGTTCCATCCTGAGGATGCTCCTACCGGATGGAGAAACTCGAAATCTCTTGGTGGATTTTTAGCTTTAATGTACTTCTCCTGCTGTGATTATCTTGTCATCTGAATGTGAAGTGAACGAAGACTTTGGTAAAACACGACTCCTCCATGCTCAGCTGGTACTTGAGAATCAGCGAGCTGAAGAGAAACAGGCTGTGTTGAAATGACTCAATACATCAGAGCCCTCCATATGGCTCCTCCAAAGATTGGCACCATCGCTTTGAATATATGTCATTGTGTCATTTTGGCTGACGAATTTTGATTCTGTGTAATCTCTCATATTGTTGTAGGAAAACATAGATTTAAGAAACAACAGATTTTTAAAGTCTTGTCAGAGAATTCTACATCTGTGAAGTATTCTACTTTCAAAGGATTCTGGAATTGATTAAAACACTTTTTTTTTTCTTCCTAAAAATCCCTCCCCCATCCCCCATTGGAGAGGGCAGGGATCAGAGTCTCACAGACTTTCCTGCCCAGGCTGGCTTTGAACCATGATCCTCAGATCTCAGCCTCCTGAGTAGCTAGGATGACAGGCGTGAGCCTTTGCCCAGATTTTTATATACAGGGTAATAAAGGTACTCAACTCCTAATCCTCAGACCCCAGATTCCAGGCTTTTCCTTGCTAGATGGAAATCAGCATCTACAATAAATTGAAAACTAGTGCTTTGTATTATAGTTCAGAATAACTTTATGAGCAAAGTCTAAAATGCCTGCTGTTTTACTGTAGCATAAGATCATTAGGTAATTTCCTCCCCTCCCCATCCAAAAGTTTTCTCTATTTCTGGCCCCTATTAGCAAATTACAGTTTATATTGCTATACTTCATGGTGGTCCATTCTTGGGCTCGCTTTTGTAAGAGTGCTGTAAGCACACTGAGTCTATTTTAGTTACTAATAACCTTGCATCAAGTAGCTTGAGTTATTGACATCCGTTTAAGTGGGTATTCTTTAAAACAAAACAGAAACAACCAAGATGTGTGTAGGTGTAAATAGGACCCAGAGAAAATGAACTCATTTTCAGAAGCCTTCTTAGCCTGTGAGAAGAGAACTGTGATGTTTTCCCAAGCTTGTCAAAATGTCAGGATGACATAATGTCGTATCTTTTAGATCTTTGGTCTCACTACTCGCATTTTCTTTTATTAAAAAAGAACAACCAACAAACTTGTAGAAGAATATTCCTGTAATCTTCTTACTGCCTCTGCTGACACCTTTGTGTTTTTGTGTTATCTGGCCCTTCTACCGTGCATCTTGTCTGATTCTGCTCCTGTTTCAGATGAAGAGAGTTTACATTAAAAGATGATCTGGAAGTGGCGCTGTGGCTCAAGTGGTAGAGCGCTCGCCTTGAGCTGAAGAGCTGAGGGACAGCGCCCAAGACCAGAGTTCAAGCCCCATGACCAACAACAACAAAAAAGTAGATGATGATTTCTTCTTGTTTCATGGTTTTGGTCGCCTGCCTTCAAGAGATAGTCATGCACTCAAGCGTCCTTTTCCCTCACTAGTTTTGCTGAGTGTTGATATCTGGCGGCAAGCTGAGGTCCAGCTGTGTCGTGTGGAAGCTTTGTCGGTCTGATCAGAACGGAACACACATCTGCGGGCGAAGCTCGGGGGAGCTGCCCCTGTCTCCCTGCCATCGTAATGACTGTGCCTCCTCATTCCTCATTCCAGACATACCTGAAGACACGCTGACAGCTGAGGAGTATTATGCCGATGGATTTGATTCCTGTTCCGAAGAGAGTGAAGAGCAGGAAGAAGAAATTGTATTCCCAGGACCAGAGCTGGAGATCAACGATGAGAGCCCCCCGTCTGGTGATAGAACCAATCACCAGGTATCTCCCTCTCCGGCACCCCTGACCTCAAGCAATGGAGCTGTCCAGAGTTCTGACTGTACTCTCCACTAGAAAGCTCTATTGACACCTTACAGTGAAGTGGAGGGTGAGCGTTCCAGAGGTTTTGTAATGGGTTCCATGTGATAAGTCTTGATTTTTAAGGGGGCAGGGGCAGGTAGGGCCTCAAGAAATTCTGAGGGCTGGGAAGGTGGCTCAGCAGTAGAGTGCCTGCCTAAGCATGCATGAAGCCCTGGGTTCGATTCCTCAACAACACTTACACAGGGGGGGAAAAAGCCAGAAATGGCGCTCTGGTTCAAGTGGTAGAGACCTAGCCTTGAGCAAAAAGAAGCTCAGGGACAGTGCTCGGGACCTGAGTTCAAGCCCCACGACTGGTTAAAAAAAGAAAGAAAGCAAGTAAAAGAAATTCTAAGAATCTGATCTGGACTCCGTTGATGCAGGAAGAGCTAATATCCACAGTACTAACTGGGGGACAGAGCATCTATGCTCACGGAAGACCCGTACGACCATTGGTTTAAGCAGTCTTTAGCAGGGAGACTGCTAAGTGGATCTCCGAGGCTTACCAATTAATTGAATGCCAATATCGCTGTATAAAGACTCACTCCGTTCTGGAGACGAGACCCCGAGAGCTTGGGCTGAGAGGATGTTTCCTCTATAAATGCCTTTGTGATGGATCTCTTGACTTAGCAAGGCCAGGCCTGAGGTGGGTGAGAGGTCAGGACACAGCCCTGACCTGCGCCTGCTCTGCTGGCGACGTCAGCAAGAGGTTGGTAAGGGTGAAGACGACTTGGAAATGTCCATGCATGTACCCCGCTTTCTTTGGAGGCGATAAACCTGGTAACTCTCGTCATCCTGGACTTCCATGAGGTACAAAAGCTTTTTATTAACTGGGAACCATTCAGCTACTGAGCAGCATCTCTGGCCCTCACCCATCCCTCCCAAGCATTTGTTTTTTGGTAGTACTAGTTTTTATTTTTGGTCGGTTGTGGGGCTTGAACTCTGGGCCTGGGCGCTGTCCCTCAGCTCTTCAGCTCAAGGCTAGCTCTCTACCACCTGAGCCACAGCGCCACTTCCAGCTTTTCTTCTGCTTATGTGGTACTGAGGAATCGAACCCAGGACCTCATGCATGCAAGACAAGCACTCTGTCACTGAGCCACCTTCCCAGCCCCAGTACTATGGTTTGAATCCAAGATCTCATGCTTACTACACATGTGCTTTACCACTGAGCCATGCCTCTAGCCCTTTTTTGCACTGGTTATTTTTTCATGTAGAATCTCACTTCCTACCCAGGCATGAGTTCTACCTGGTGATAGCCTGGAACCATGATCCTCTTATTCTCAACCTCCCAAGACATGAGCCACCAATGCTTGATTTCAAGGAACCTTGTGGGGGTGGGGGTGGGTGGGAGGTCATGGGGCTTGAACTCTGGGCCTGGGTGCTGTCCCTTAGCTCTTCAGCTCAAGGCGAGCACTCTACCACTTGAGCCACAGCACCACTTCCAGTTTTCTAGTGGGTTATTGGAGATCAGAGTCTCACAGACTTTCCTGCCCGGGCTGTCTTTGAACCACGATCCTCAGCTCTCAGCCTCCTGAGTAGCTAGGATGTCAGGCATGAACGAGCCCCCGGCGCCTGGCTTTAACCAACCATTTTTAATAGACTAAGCAACCCAACATAATATTTAAATAAAACCAAGGAGAAATGTTTCCTAAGTTCTACGTGAGAGGAGGGAGAGACAGGAAGAAGAGAACCAGTAAGGTTATAGGTATAGGGCAAAGCAAAGAAAGAGAGAATGAGAAAAGGAAAGAGAGAAAGAATGCAAGAATTTAAAAGCCATGAGGATAGCAATAATTAAATTATTGGCAAAAATACAAGATGAATGAGAGCTAAGGCTCAGAATACCAATATAAAAACTTTCCTTATACCATTTTCCCATTTCCCCTCAGGGGACTCTGGGAGAAAAACAACACCTCTTTCCACAAATTAAAAATGTAATTTCCATTTGGTTCTGAGCCACCGATAGAAACAATGGAGCAAAGTATTATTATAAGATTACAGAAACTGCATTCTATACATATGGTTGCAAAAAACATATGGTATACAAAAGGCAAACTCAGTTTCTGCTCAGAACGTCAAGTGGTAAAACCTTATTTACTACCATTATAATTTAAAATGTTTCTAAATAAAAGAAGGCCAACTTAGCCTTAGGAGTAGAATATCTTACATACTCCACCCAGGAGGGTGGCTTTGGCATACATGCTAGAATACAGTAATGGAAATCAGATTACCTATATATGAGTCACCTTTGTCATTTGCAGATTGTATGGCCTGGTATAGATGCCTCTGTTTTCTAATCTCTTAAACAGGAGGATATGGCCATAGAGAGGTTTTAAGATTAAATGAAGTGACCGATACGAAGCATTTAGGATAATTTCTAGAACCTAATTTCTTATTTTTTATTTATTTATTGTCTGTCAGTTGTTGGGGCTTGAA